AATCTTCTAAATTATTTTGTTTGAAGATGATGGATGTTTCTTGAGACAAGGTGGAAACATAGCTGATTGGTAGACAATCCCCTCCTTTTGTTAAATCATTTCTGACTGAACATTTACTTCATTGGGTGACTCACAAGAAGCTAATACAAACGAAGAGCAAACTAGTCATTTTGTGATGTCCATGAAAAATTTTTTGTTGAAGACCATCTTTCAAACAAATGTTCTTTATGCAACTTTATGATATGAGCATGAATTAATGTAAAAATGAATAAGAGAAAAAGGTTAGTATACCAAATAAAGAGAAATAAATAACTGAAAAACTAAATAAATTAAAACATCACACATAATAAGAGGAATGAATCCTATGCTTTTATTCAATTCTAAAGGGAAGGAGATGGCTCTATCTATAGGTTTGATGCTTCTAAGGTTCACTATATGTGGTTCAAGGTTAAAGTCTAAAGGTTTCCAAATTACTCCTTACATCATTTTCCATCACAGACTAGTAAGATACCCCAATCTTCACCCATTACAAGCTGCAAGCGAAAAGATTTAATTTGAGTAGAAGTATTTTGCTAGCCACTGTGGAGGCATTAAAACCTCATGAAAGCATAGATACTTTACTCCTGCCTAAAGGGACGGAGCTCGAGTATAGAGCTCATGTTATGCTCATGCATATAAATGACATCATAAGCAAAATAAAGGAATAAAGTGAATGAATGAACAAAGATCTTTAAAAAAAATCAATTTTATTAAGCTTTTGGATAACACAAACTTATTTGCTGGCCTGACTCTCAGCTTGTCTCCAGTGGAGTCATTAAATTGTCATAACATCTAGATCCGTAGATCTATCGCTAGATATTGACTGGAGAAATTATCACCAATCTTTTTTATTTATGTGCGATTGGTCACTTGACTGAATCTGTCCCTTTTAAAGAGAAATCTTAAGTTTAGCTTAGGTATCTTTAAAAGGTAGATTCAATGTTCACAAAACCAGAACTAGGTCCGAGAGTACGGTTACATGTGAGAAAGTTATAGCACATTCACAATACCCATCGGAAGATGGTACTAGCTCAATTTCATGAAATCCGATGAGCTTTAAAAATTATCAAGTAATTAGTTATTGAAAATTATTCTTAATTAACTCCAATATTTTTTGTGAGAAATTAAAAAAAAAAATTTCTCATCTCAAAAATATATAAGAAAATTATTGTTTCTCTTGCAAAGGCTTCATTATCGATTTATTTAACATTAAAAATTTTTCAAGAAAAAAAAAAGACAAAAAGAGAAAGGAATGATGATTTGACTTTTGATATAGATATTTTTTTGTTTTATAAAAAAAAAAAAACTCATGCTTTTATACAAGAAAAATTGATACTTTCAAGTTTTCCTTGAAAATATTTTTTTGAAAATTTTTATTTTTAAGAAAAATTGATACTTTCAACTTTTCTTAAAAATATTTTTTTGAAAATTTTATTTTAGGAAAATCATTGAAAAATTAAGAAATGCTTACTTAAAATAAATAATTTCAATTTAATCAATAAATAAATAGGTAGAAATAATAATAATAATAATAATAATAAATGAAAAAAAAAGAAAAAAAAACCTTAACGCGGCTCAGCTCAGTGGCTGAAACAGCTAGGCTTGAGGCACAAAAGCGACTAGAAGGTGCGGCTCAGGGGACGTTGCTCGGCTCTAAGGATCGGCTGGCACGTGGGTCAAATGCGGGTCACGATCGTGTCGAGTTGGTTCGATGGCAAAATACGCAGATTCTCTGGGATTAGTAAGGGCCAAAACGACGTCGTTTTACAAAGGTATAAAAGGCAAAAATCCTGATTTTTCCTCCGATATCTCCCTTCCTTCTCTCTTTCTTCCCCTCTTTTCTCCTCTTTTCTCTGTACACAAACCTAGATTTTCAATTGAATTTTCATCGAAAACTGGGAAAACAACGCCTGAAACTAGGAAATACAGCTAAAATATTCAAGTTTGGTCGAAAAATTTGTTGGAATTTGGAATTTTTTCAAAAATTTTCTAGAAAAATAATTACCAAAAATTTTGAAAAAATTCCTAAAAAACCTAAATTTGCTTATACCTTTCAGATTAATAGTGACTCCTTAAATTCAAGTCTAATGATAGATTTATGGATTTATACGTTATGACAATCTTATGCATCAAATATGACCTCAGCTCTTAAATATATTTTTGACAACATTGTGTAATCAATTAAGCACTCTTTTATGCATTTTTTATAATCTTGTATAGTCAATTCAGTATCTTTTGTTGTATTTTTTATAACTTTGTGTAGTAAATTCAATGCACTATTTTTTACCTTGATAACTTTTGTCTTTTAAAGTCAATATCTTTTAAGTTAACTTTGATAACTTTAAATTTAGTATTTTCTTATTTATTTTACAACTTTGTATAGTAAACCTAGTACCTTTTGATATATTTTTGATACCCTTGTATAGTAAATTCAATACCTTTATGTATTTTTGCTAATCTTATGTAGTAAATTTAGCACTATTTGATGTATTTTTAATAGATTTGGTAATTCATATTTTTGTGTCATATTTTGTTTCATGTTTGATATGTGTAATAACACAAATTATTAAAATACGATTACAATATAAATTATAAAATATGTTTAAATTCTAAACATGAACATGACACATTTATTATATGTGTTACATGCGATATGACACAACTAATATGTGTACAGTTAATTCGTTTAAACACGATACAAATAAATATGAATGACATAGGTATACAAAAATAGACAAAATTAATGCAGATATATATGAATAGACATGACTAATATGAGCATATACAAAAATATAGCTTAAATAATACAAATTATAACTATTTATCATTTACAACTTAATAATTATGGTATATTAATAATATAAAAAGTACTTGCATGCATTTTAAAAAGTATAAAAAAATTTGATGCCCATTTAATACGCATTTAATATCTATATACAAATTTTAATATATACATTATGTAACTGTATTAGTTTTTAGTATTAAATTCAAAATAATTAACTACTAAAAATTAAAGAATAAAATAATAATGTATTGAACTAGTATTATTATTTATATTGTATTTATATTATTAATATACAGATAATTTTATAATAATTATTAAATGAGTATAATAATTACATGTTTAAACTAATCTTTATGTGGTATTGAATAGCTAATTAGGTATCATAATTAAAAAATTAAAATAATTTTTATATATTTATATTAAATAAAAATAAAAATAAAAATGTATTAAACATATTAAACATATTAAACATGTATCCGTATAATAAGATTAAATTAAATGTATTTTTCATATCACGTCACATATTAGACATATCTAACATATGACATGTTTTATATGTGTTTTACCTTTTACACATGTTTAAATATGTCAATAAATATAAAACATGAATTATATTGTATCAAAATTTATGTCAACACAAATAAACATAAAATAAGTTTTTTTAAAACACATTTACAATTTTTTTGGATTATTTTCATGTCGTGTTATCGTATCGTATTTGAAATTATCAAATCTAATTTTTAATAATTTTATCTAATAAATTCAATATCTTTTGATATACTTTCCATAACTTTAGGTGATAAATTCAGTTACTCTCTAAAGGACTTTTACACTATTGTTATCTAGTAAAATGAATACATTTATGAAAATCTTGTTTAGTAAATGCAGTACTTTTTATAGTATTTTTTTATAATTGTGTATACTAAATTCAGAATGTTTAATGTATTTTTTATAACACTAAAAATAACTACCTTTAATAATAATAATTTTTAAATTGTCTACTAAATTCATACCTTTAATGTGTTGTTTATAATCTTGTCTTCTAAGGCCAGTACTTCTAATAGTATTTCTGATATATTCTTGTCTTCTAAAATCAATAATTACACTAGTAGTATTGATTTAATATATGTAATAAAGTTTTTGATAACTATATCTTATAAAATTAATACATATTTTTTAGAAAAATTATCACATATCGTAGAATTTTTAAATTTTATTGTCAAGATTGATAAAAAAATAAATAAATAAATAAAATATGCGATAATATTTTAATTTCGTTTGTGAAATAAAAATTTTTTTATTATAAGCATATAATCATGAAATTTTTTATAAAGATTTTTTTAACTAAACCACTAGTCATTTTTATATGCTTCTTTCATCAATTACTTATAATTCATGAACATTAAAAACGTACGGCCTAGTAGCTTATATTTTTGCACACTGGTATTTAACCATGACTACAAAAATATAATTACCTTGTACTAGTTTTATCATACCTTGTCTAATAAAATTAGGACAAAAATTAATAAATACTTTATCCTTATTATTGGATAATGAAATTACAATAATCATCTATATTTTGTATGATAATTAACACAACATAAAATTTTATGCTACATAATTATAATCTAAAGAAATTTAAACTATTTTTTTATATATTCAAGTACTTTTAATAAGATGAATTACTATGTTTATAATATTAATTATTTTTTCAATAAAAATTGTGAATGTTATCGATATTTGATTAGATTAATCTTAGAATTTCTATAAATAACAATTTGTTCATTATTAAAAAATATTAATAATTTTATTAATTGATATTTAAATGTTATTATAAATTTTGCTTACTAGAATATATCTTAATATGTTAATATTATAAGAAATTATTATATTTGATGATTAAAATGAATATATATATATAATATTATTTTGTTGTACACTTAGTTTCTATAAAATATTGTATTTATATGCTTTATGAAACAAAAAGAAAGGCAAGGACATTATGTTTATTGACTCATAATTAACTAAAAACTTAACAGCAAAATAACAAACTGGCTAATAAAAGAGGAAAAAAAAAAAACACGACAAACTAAGTTGGGTCACACTCGATACATTCACGAATATGCCGATTTCCTGTGGTTACACGATACAACTTGAACAACGAAGAAATTAAAATTTAGGGAGAGAAATTGTTTGGCGGCCAGGTTTTTCCATCTAAAGGCAGTCCAATATCACTGCCAGCGCCGGTGCTGCTGGCGCCTCCGAAAGGCCCAAAAGGAAGCCCTAACTCACTCCCAGTGGAGAAAGGATACAGTCCCTGCCCTATTTCACTCCCAAAAGTGCCAAAAGTGCTGCCTCCAACATTCCCATGATTCAGCCCCATATCACTTGCACCACCGTGGGGTCTAAAAGCCAGAGGAGGCAGCCCCATATCAGTGGTGGGGCCTCCGAAATTCCCATATTGGGGCAGCCCTATGTCAGCACTCGAGCTGCCAACAAATGGTTGTCTTGGCAACCCAAGGTCTTCTGCAGCAAGACCAGCAAATGGCTGATATGGTAAGCCCATATCACCCCTTATGCTACTGCTGCCAGCAGCAGATTTGAATTCATTGTTGTTAATCATATCGATGAACCATTGATCCCAGAGCAATGATTCGGCTGTAATCCTCCCGTTATCTCCTTGAAAGCCAGCACTGCCGCCGCCAAGTCGGGCGGTCAGATCATCCTCAGGGCCTTGGAGAGGAAGATCTCCATGAGGGTGGCCTGCTGGTTGTGCAAAAGGAACTTGTTGAAAAAATTCAATACGTTTATTTATCTCCTTCATCTTCTCTTCCACCAACCAAGTCAATCCATGCAGTTCGACAAGGTTAAGTTCATCAAGCCCCTTGCCTTGATCGATTTGATACATGAGACTGCCCATCTCAACTTCTTTGTTTCTCCTTTGGATCTTCCTCAGTTGCTCTTCCACCTTGGTAACCCTCTCTCTGAGATAGGTTTCTTGGTTCATCATTTTCTTCATCCGTTCCAACTCGGGCATGTTGTGGAACTCTCCAATCTGTTCTTGCACCTCGGAGTGTGATGGCCACACCAATGGCTCGCTTTCGTCCGGGCTATAGATGATAAGACAAGCTTTGGTACCACATAGAGTGCTCAGCTCACGGACTTTCTTCACCAAGCCTAACCTTCTTTTCTTGAGGCTGGCTCTTCTAGCACTATCATTGGCTATCCAAGCAAGTTTCACCTTCTTTCTTGTCATGGTTATTGCTTGGCAAAGTCTCTCTTTTGCTCTTAAAACAAGGGTGAAGAAGAGAATATATACTTGGCTTGCTTGAATGGAATAGCCACTGAGGTCTTTAAATAATGAGGGAGAGGAGACAAACTATTGAAGGGCTGAGTTGGGAAATGAAGGTTTCAAGGCCAATTTGTAGATTCAGAGAATAATGCATGAATTCCAGGTTAACAAATCCTTTTGTCAAGATCCTAAAGATAAATGAGGGTTGGTTAGAGAATTTAATTTGTTGCTCATTATGGTAAGAAATTCACCATTATTCAATGCTTGCTACTGAAATTTATCTGTACTAATTTTAAAGACAATTGTATTAGCTACTAGTGTTTTTAATTGATTTGAATTTGTGCTAAGCATTAACCTAAAACATCTTTTTCATTCATGGTGGTTTGAAATTACTTTGTATAGAAGAGAAAATGCATGTTACTTTTCATTTAAATCAAATGTATTTTAATTTGATCAAACTCGATAGAAAATTTATCTATGTACCTCATTCATAATAATAAAAAAGTACATTCATCGGTAAATCAATCTTTTAAGACAAAATCGTATTATCCATGATGAATATCATTGCATGTCATATTTTATCATGGTGAAAAATTATAACGTTTAAAAAAGGGATAAGCATGTTAGTTGTCATTCAGAAATATTTTAACAGTCAACTTAACAAAAGATCTTGCCTGTCTATCTAATTCATAACAAAAAGTTGTTATCAAACAATCTTCTAAGACAAGCACATATTATCCACGATGAACATTAGTGTATGCAACGTTTTAGAATAATTAAAATTTACCATGTTAAAAGAAGAGATGATCATGCTAGTTTGATTCAAATGTGCATAATAATCAATTAACTTTTTAATACAAATCTAGATCCAATTAACCCTGAAAAGAAAGTATATATAGTGATCAAACCATTCAAACTTCTAATATAAGCGTGTATTATCCACGATGAGTATTATTGTGCACCACATTTTACAGTAATAAAAAATTACTGCGTTTGAAGGAGAGATAAACATATTAATTTAGATTCAAATGTACTTTAATAATCCAATTTGGGAAAAAAATCTTAAAAAATCTGTCTACAAAATGTATATAAAATTATTCATCAATCAATCGGTCTCATAAGATAAGCATCTATTATCCATAATAAACATTATTTTGTGTCGTGTTTTAGAATGGTGACAATTTACCATATTCAAAGGAGAGATAAACATGCTAGTTTAGATTATGATTAAAAATCAAAATATGGATAAAAAATCTTATATATTTATCCACCTAAATCATAAAAATATGTATTGATCAATCAATCAGTTTTTTAAAATAAACTCATACTATTCATAATGAAGTTATTGTGTGCTATGTTTTACAATAATGAAAAATTATCGTATTTCAAGAAGACATAATTAGCATACTAATTTAGGTTCATATGTACTCTAATAATCAAATTTGGACAAAAACATTTTATATTATATATCTATTCACTTAACTCATAATAAAAATGTAAATCTATTAATCGATCAATGGCTTAAGATAAACACGTATTCTATTATGAACTTTTACATTAATGTAAAATATTGCGCGTACAAAAGAGATTATTCAAATGTACTTTAATGATAATAGTTGACAAAAAAAATCCTTTTTTGTGCACCTAAATCATAATTAAAAAGTATAGTGATCAATGGATGTGTATTTTAAAATAAGCATGTATTATCACAATAAAAATTATTGTGTATCACATTTTAAGACAAAGAAAATTACTTGCATGAAGAAGAGATAAGAATGTTAGCTAGTTTATTCAATATGTTTTATGCTTATTAAATTTGACAAAATATTAGTTATAACTCATAACCATGTATTTGTATTGTAGTCGTGATAAAAGTAAAGTGGCTGATGGATTAATTTTCAAAGTGAAGGGACTACTTTGTACCACCTTTTCGAGTAAATTGCATTATTAGTGTTTGACATTTTTATAATGTTTTATTTTCATCAGAGACCTAAAAAAACTCAAAATTTTCATAATTAAGCAACATTTTAAATTTGTTCCCAATCCATCTATTTGACAATGTTTTGTTAGAATTTAGATGAAAAGTTAGGGAAATTTACCATGTGAGGCTTTGATGCATATACATTTGATAAATTCCATTCAAATCTCATCTATATGTTAATAGATATGAATCGATAAATTTGGATTAAATTCAAAAGATAATAATGAAACAAAACTCCATGTTTTGTAAGATGTTAATTTCCGATGAAATTAAATAACCATGGGGAAAAAAAATTCATGAAGCAATGATAAAATTTATTTCAAGTTTCCCAAGTGACAGGACTCTAAACTTATGTTGAATTTTGAGTCCATTGTAACGTATATATTTAACTGAAACTGTTGCATCTTAATCATCAAACATCTAATTTAGGTTCCAAAATAAAATTATAATCTAACATTCCCATATATAAAATGGGGCTTCGACGGTTTCTCAAAGACAAAACACATGGAAGGCACGCACGCATGCATGCATGCATGCAACTGTCTGTCTATATGTTTAACATTTGACAATATGAAGTCAACATTTTTCTACTTATATCATGATTCATGAGTTGGGTATTGATTGTAAGTAGACAAGCTTAATTAAAGTCGAATAATAATAAAAAAAATTACATTTCTTCGTCGAACTTGAAAGCATTGGTAAATTTGAAGTTCAATTTATAATATCTGTAATCACTTCTTATATTTTCAGTTTGTGGCTTTTTTTGTTTGAAAAAACATATTCTTAATCTAAAATTGCTTCTCTGGAGTCTAATTACAACTACGAACATAATAAATCCAAAAAATTAGACAGCTAAAGCAAATTAAAACAAATATTGAAGCTAATATGGAAGGGTTCTATCCAACAATAGCCCTAGCTGAACTTAGCTGTCAAGAAAAACGCTCTCCAAATTTGCTGGGTTTGGACAAGGTTAAGGTGAAATTCAATTTCCTGCAATATATGACTGGATGACAACAAAAATTTGCAGCAGAAATAGCTGTAGTCAACCTTTCTATCAGCAAATGAAAATTTATAGATTTTAGTTTTTATTTGTTCAGATAACATTAAAACAACATTATCCTCCTTCACAATATTTTCTAGGGGGTCGTTTGTTTTTGTTTTCTGTTTCTTGTTTTTGTTTTTAGTTTTTTTGAAATTGAAAATAAAAACATGTTTGGTAAGTTGTTTTTGTTTTCTGTTTTTGAAAACTGAAAATAAAATTTTGAAAAGTTTCGAAAATTGTTGAAAACAGAAAAATAGTGTTTTCAATTTTTTGGAAACAATTCGGCACTATTACCACATGGGCATTATTTACAGAAATTATAATTAAACAATTACAATGATGATACAATTATTATATTAATAAAATAATATTTTTATTATATAATTATATTAATAAACAATATATTAATTAATATTAATATATTTATTATTAATATAATATATTATTCATTAATATATTATATCATATTAATAATATATTAATAAATACTATTTATTATATAAATAATATTACATTAATAAATAATGTATTATATTATCAATATAATATATGATATTAATATATATAATATTAGTTTAAATATATATATTATATATATATATTAAATATAATAATTAATATATATAATAATAATATTAATAATATTATAATATATTATTAATTATAATATATATATTATATTATATTAATATTAATATACTGATAAATATTATTATTAACAATATTTATTAATATATAATAATTAATAATATATATTATTTTTATTAATATAATAATATTTATTAATATATTAATAAATAATACTATATTAATAAATAATATATTAATAAATATTATTATATTATTAATAAAAAAATAGAGTTTGAAAACTTTAACTATTTTCTTTTACATATTTTTATTTTCACATTTTTAAAACAAAAAATTCTATCAAAACATATTCTAAAATTTAATAAATTGAAAATAAAATAAAATAAAATAAATATAAAACATATAATATAAAATATACAATAATACCAAACTACTCTAAATAAATGTTTAGGATGTATACCCTAGCAATTTTGGACCTCATGGGTCGGATTGCCCAATTTAGGTCCTGGAATGTATATTTTAAGAGCTTCCTATATGGGTCTAGGCACGCTGGATCCTTTGGAGGCCCATTTAACTTAAAGTTTTTCCTTTTGGTTCTCCATATTGCATGCTCTACCCACCGAAAACCAAATAATAATAATAAATTAGAATAAAAATATGTTTTAAAAGGTAAATTTTTAAAATTTTAATATAAGATTTGAGTCACTCATTTTTAATAATATTTTAAAATTATTCTCTTTAGATATATTTATGACTAAATACTCAATCTAAAATACAATATTTGAGTGAAATCTCAATTAAATATATAATTTAAGATAAAAAATTACCCAAAGGATTTTTTGACAGAAATACATTACACTGCGTTTTATAGCATGATATATCGAAATATACTGCTAATATGTCATTTTTGCACATTACAAGTGGCAAAAAAAAAAAAATTTAAACTCTAACTCAAAAAGAAAATTAGAAAAGAATTCAAATAAAAAAAAAACTAATGAAGAAACATAAACTGATTCTACTAATAATCTTGAGAAACAAACAGAAATTAATACTACTAAAAAATTAAAAAAAAAAAAAAAGAAACAGCAACTGGAACCCAGAATATAAGGTAGAAATAGAAGCAAAAGAAGTTAAATTGAATCAAAAATTTTAAAAAAAAATTATGAAGGAAACTTCAAAGGTTGTTTCTAACATAAATAAAAAACTAATACGAATCTCAAAAAACACTAAATAAATAGAAAGAAATCACGAAAATGAATAGAAAGTTGTTGTCGTTGAATCACCTTAAATTTATGAAAAAAATAACCCAAGGTCTTCTACTCTTTTTTTTTTCTTTGTCAAGATATAATCAAT